TATTTAAAAAAAGTGTTTGCAAGCCTACATATATATATATATATATATATATATATATTTTTTTTTTTTTTAATTATCTACGATATTAAATGTGGCAAAATTCATAATTGTCGAAATTCGTTAATGAGGAATTTCAGGAAAATATTTGGTAAAATATTGTGATTATAATTTGCCTAAGACTTAAGGAGATAATAATAAGATTTTAATGTAGTATACTCTTTAATCTTCGATTTTTTATTAAATAAATTTCATATTGTTCTAAAAGAAAAAGGTTCGAGTCATTCGGTGTGGAACGACGCCTAGGGATCGTGGCACCAACCTTTCAAGAGTTAAATCAAAGTATAAAAAAAAGTAAAAAATTATCTGTCGAGCGGATTGTGAGATAAGCAATCAGTCAAGCAAATGTATATACTAGAAAAATGTTCTACAATATTCCTTCTGTTAATAATTTTTCAACCATTCGGTAAGAAATTTTATGTAATACACACATAAATTTGGAAACGGCTGTTGGACAATTTTGTGCGTATTATAAGGAAAATGTCGGACCGTGCATTGTAAGTTTTCCAACTCATATCATACTGTTTTTTTCTTTTATTCGCTGCTTTTATTCGCTAAACAATGATATTTACATTTTTTTGTATTCAATTTGTTCCTTTGTATATATTACTGAACTTATCAAACCTTTGAGAGTGATAACGGTCGATTGGTAATTAACAAAAAGATTGCTGATATATTTCTATTCAGTATTCCAGGTGCTAAAGGCATACTTGATTTTTATATGAATATTTACTTTTGCGACAATTTTATTAAGAATGTGGTATTTCTGAGACTGAATCCTTTATAATTTCATAATCGCATATTCTTTGATATTTACCCAATCATGATCTCATTAATGATTTAGTATATTTATCTTCAAACTGTAAATAATCTAAAACATTACTACTATTTCTTATATAATTATAGTAAATAAAAAGCTTGCAAATTCAATACATTAAATGATAAAATACTTTATGAAATCTATAAGTATGTCATAGAAATATGGTCTAATCCTCCAAAAAAACCTTTTTATATATTATCTTATCGTTACTATAAATGTACCTACTGATTCATCATTATAAAAATATTTGAGTATTAATATTTTAGTTTTTTTTTCACATTATTACATTTTCAATTATTTTAATTGCTATGAAAATATTTCCTTGAAAGCTCCATATAATTATATTAATTTAATGCAATAGATATATAAAAACCGATAATAATTATATTCATATTAATATATTCATAATAATCAATATGAGATATATAATTGCATTCTGTACATTTTCACTTCTAACTATTGGTAAGTTTATTTTTACACTCTTTAATTGATTGTGTTAATATGATTTAGTCGTTATTTTTATGCATATAATTATCTACAATATATTTCTAAATGTAAGATATTTGCTAAACTTGTTTCCGAATCTATAACCTAATTGATAAATGAATAGAATTGATAGTTGTAATTTATGTGTTAGATAAAAGCTTCAGAAAATATGTTTTATCTCATATAATTGTATTAAAACTTAATTATTGTTATGTTGAAATGTTGGGACTGTGGACTTGTATTTCTTTAGAATATTATCTAATTATACAATGTATTATCAAGTTAGAACTTAGAGTTAGAACTTAGAAGTCATACATGAGCTACAAAATAATGGCCATGTAATTAATCTTGATATATGATTGATAAATGATGATATATGACCTTGATAAAATTCATAATTTCATATCCTTTCATAATTAAGGTTTCGTATATGTTACTAATTCTAAATTAATTGTAGGTGTCCTCGCAAAGCATGTGCGAATTATGGGTGGCGAAGATGTAGATGTGAGAGCGTATCCTTTTATGGCCTCATTTAGGTATTTGGGCTATGCCAGTACTTTTTGCACCGGTGTAATAATTAGTAATAAACATATTGTTACAACGGCTCAAGCGCTTGCATTTAGATCAATGGATATAAGTTTAGCTCGAGTCTATACGGCCACAATTTCCACTGATATAAATATTGGAATTGCCCATAAAATTCAACAAATTTTCATTCATCCTAGATATACAGGTGAACACAATCAGGATGAAATGTTTCTACATGATATTGCTATTGTTAAGGTAAATTAATTAAAACTAATATATTGAAACACTATTGAGAAGTAATTTGATACATATATCTGACGACTGAAAAATATTAAGCCTGAATAGACAATTTTTAATAGAAGCTAATACATTATTGTTAAACAGATTAGTTTTTAGCCATCGCATATATATATTGTTAAACAGAGTTGTTTTTATCCATCGCATATATATATATATATATATATATATATATATATATATATATATATAATCTTACCTTTTTAGTTGAAAGAAGCAATTCAATTAAATGAAGTTCAAAATACCATTGAGATTTTACAAAGAGATATTACTGAGAATGATAGAGGATTTGTTTTGGGATGGGGATCAACGTCTTTTCCAACACTTTCGTACCCAACTAAAATGCAAAAAGTCAACATGAATATTGTGCCCGAAAGACTTTATAACAATTATTTCAATTTTGTTTTGCATGATACTCAATTTGGCGGATTAAACAAAAAAGGCATAGGCTTATGTATAGTAAGTATTTGTATTGTAATTATTATACTCGTTTTGCTTGTAGATCATTATCGATCATTATTCTTCAACATTCTATACAATTTTATAATTGTTCATTTTCAAGAATTGTAGACTCAATTATAAGGAATTTTACATTAATATTTATTGTAATTCTTACGTAAATTATATGGCATTTATAATTTAACATATATCTACTAATTATTAACAATAAAAATTAACATAATCTTGAGTCAATATTTTTTTATGTTGAAATAATAACAGTCTCAATCACTGTTTTTTCTGTATTTTTGGCCTTCATAAAGTTATTTTCTATATAATTTAGTCTTAAACAATTTCTAGGGTGATATCGGAGACCCGCTTATTATTGATGGAAAACTCGCCGGTTTAGCATCATTTTCGCGGCCATGTGCCCTTGGTGTACCTGATGTATATGTAAAAATTTATTATTACATCGATTTTATAAGAGACATGATAAATAGATAATATATGTTATCTTGATATTACACTATTTGTTTAATTATATTTTTCGAACATTTGCCTTGGTTATTATCCTATCAATACACTGGCTATGATTGTAATACAATTATAACAAATTAAACATATACTCAAATTACATTGTGTATTCAAGAATTTATTTGTAGAAGTATTCCTCTATATATACGTAAATTCAGTAAAGGAAAATTAATTATAAAGAACAATATAAATTTGCAAAATTTATATTGGATTATTTAAATCAAATTTGGATATTAAAACAAAGATTTGCTAAAGAAATTTGTAACGAAAACAAAGACAATTACAATGGATAAAGTAAAATTCTAAAATTTGAATTTGATTTTTTATTACAAGTTCTAAAATTATTATAAACAATTCCAAAAAAGATTTTTTGTAATATAATATAGAAGTTTACTATTAAAATATTTATCATTTTATCAAAATTATAAATTGTATGTAATGGTATCAACGCACAACTAAATTTGAATTTCATTCGTAAACACGAAACAGAAATTTCATATTTAATGATAATATACGTATATAATGACTTTTAATGTTACCAAATTTTAACTCCATTTGATTATGTTAATTCTTGCATATCATACAAAGTAAATGCAGTTGAATAAAAATACGTATAAGCAAGCATAATTAATAGTTTAATAAGGTCATAATAATAAACAAATTTTTAGGCGCTTTTGAAAAGAACGTTCATGTATTTGGAGGTGAAAGCACATATATAAAAACTTATACAAGAAAAACAGTTTTCCTATATTATCTTATCGTTAATAATAACAAGTATTTACGTTATTACATTACATTATGATAGTACAACTTATTGTGATATAAAAGTAATTGGAAATATATTGATATATAACGATGATTTTCTTCAAATATAATATAATATCGTTGTGGATAATGGCAAATGGAATATTCTTTTCATAATAGTTAAAATAACTTTTCCAATTGTAATTTTCTTATATGTAGTGTTAAAGTTGGTGAGAAAATTCTATAATTTACATTTTTAAAATAAAGCATATGTTAAAATCATGGATCATATAAATAAATTCTTAATAAATTTTTCTAAATAAATTTCTTTAAATATTTAATACTTTAATAAAATTATAACAAAATAAACAAGTACTGGAATTAAATTGAGTATTTAAGAATTTATTTGTACAAGTATTCCTCTATATATACGTAAATTCAGTAAAGGAAAATTAATTATAAAGAACAATATAAATTTGCAAAATTTATATTGGATTATTTAAATCAAATTTGGATATTAAAACAAAGATTTGCTAAAGAAATTTGTAACGAAAACAAAGACAATTACAATGGATAAAGTAAAATTCTAAAATTTGAATTTGATTTTTTATTACAAGTTCTAAAATTATTATAAACAATTCCAAAAAAGATTTTTTGTAATATAATATAGAAGTTTACTATTAAAATATTTATCATTTTATCAAAATTATAAATTGTATGTAATGGTATCAACGCACAACTAAATTTGAATTTCATTCGTAAACACGAAACAGAAATTTCATATTTAATGATAATATACGTATATAATGACTTTTAATGTTACCAAATTTTAACTCCATTTGATTATGTTAATTCTTGCATATCATACAAAGTAAATGCAGTTGAATAAAAATACGTATAAGCAAGCATAATTAATAGTTTAATAAGGTCATAATAATAAACAAATTTTTAGGCGCTTTTGAAAAGAACGTTCATGTATTTGGAGGTGAAAGCACATATATAAAAACTTATACAAGAAAAACAGTTTTCCTATATTATCTTATCGTTACGTTAAATGAACGTATTTACTTATCATTACGAAAATATTTGATTATCTGTTCTTCGCGTTTATTTTAAAATATAATTTTCTATGATTTTAATTGTTAAGGACATATTCACGTAAATCTTTATTTTACATCATGTAATGCGTATATAAAGAGGCCAACATATATTTCCTTATCAAAATATTTAGAATAATAAAAATGACATATCTAATTGCAGTCTTTGTATTTGCACTACTAACTAACGGTAAGTTTATAATTTACTCCTTTTAATTATATGTTTAGAATGATGATTTTAGTATCATTTAAATATTACTATATGTTTTTATTGTCTCGAAATTATAGATAATGTAAGCATAACGAATGACTGATAATTTCTATTCTAATGTCCGAGTTTTTATTTATTTGATCGTAATTTTATATTATAAAAAGTACAAATCTTGTAGTGACTGTAGAATAGATAATTAAAATTTTATTTTCATTAATTATAAACATGTAATCATTTATATTCATATACACTTTTCTACGTAATGCTTAATCAATATATCTATTCATAAATTCTAAGTCAAATATATTATAATTGATTATATTCTAAATAATTTTGCAGGTGCCTTTACAAGAAATGTTCGAATTATTGGTGGCGAAGATGTAGATACAAGAACATATCCGTTCGTAGCATTATTTAAACATAGAGACTATAATTTTCCCATTTGCGGTGGTGCAATTATCAGCAATAACCATGTTCTTACAACCATAAAGTGCCTTTATGATGAGCCAGATGATTTTGCACGCGTTCTGGTTTATACAGGAATGGTACCATCGGAGTCAAATCCAGGAAATGCTCATGAAATTGCTCGTGTTTTCAATCATCCGAGATTCACGGCTGAGGATACTATTGAAGAAATGTATCTGCATGATATTTCTGTTGTCAAGGTAAAAACCATATAATTAATAAAGCTGAGTATGCTATTTGGAAATTCCAATTTTTATTACAATTTTTATTTTAGAATTTATAGTTTAAATATAAACAAAGATATCGTTCATTATTAATTACTTGATAAGCTTCATTTAAATTAAGATATTAATTTTTTGATACATTCCTTCATATTTAGTAGATACTTCTAATAAAAAATTTGTTTTTTTAGCTTAAACGAAAAATGAAATTTAATGAATTCCAAAGCGCTATCCAACTATTAGACAGAGACGTTGCTGAGAATGATAACGGATTTGTTTTGGGATGGGGATCAACGACTTATCCGACTCTTTCATATCCAACGAAAATGCAAAAAGCCAACATGAGAATTATTCCAGAAAGATTGTATTCTACATATTTTAAATTTCTTATACACGACACTCAATTTTGCGCATTGGATAAAGCAGAAGTTGGAGCATGCAAAGTAAGTATTTCAAATTACACTAATGCACTCCCCCAGTTTTTATTCTATTCTTTATTCTTATTTTTTCCCTACTATTGTTATAAATATATCAATAGATCTGAATAGTAACCAATGAATATTTAATTATAATTTAATTAAGTTAAATTTTATATTTAATTTATTTTCTTTACAAAATACATTGTTTAACTAATTTAACGTATTATCTTATTTTTTGTTATCGCAATATTAAAATATGTAATCTTCATTAAATCATATTATAAATAATAATTACGATATAATTAGCTCCTATTTTTTATTCATTTTCACGATGTTATAATTATTAATTGGTTTTTAACATTTTTAGGGTGATGGTGGAGATCCATTTGTCATTGATGGAAAACTCGCTGGTTTAACATCAGTTGTCTATCGATGTGCCAAAGGTGTTCCGGATATATATACAAAAATTTATTACTACATTGATTTTATAAAAGATATCATGAAAATATAATACATATCAGCAATTTATTCTATAATATTATATCGATTTCAAAAAAATGTAACAAAAAATTTTACATTATTTATTAACGTATTAAAACCATCATCAATTTGGATAATTCATTGTATGTTATACCTGACTTTGGCAACATAAAAAAAAATTTATACGTGGCTTCAAATAATATGAGTCATTAATACAAAAGTTCATTTAGAAACTATAATACAAGCAAATGAAAGTTTTAATTTTTAATAAAACCAAATATTTCCAAAATAAATTATATGATATTGAAAATTCATTACCTCATTCAAAAACATTATTTTTCGTAAATAGATTCAAATTGATAATAAGTCATACAAATTTATATATGTTAATTTGACTATTACTATACATCAAACAGTATCTTCTAAGTAATTTTTATAAAATAATAAGATTATCTTATTGCATAATTTATTATATTTAGTATTGTACTGTAATTCCATTAATATCTGTATATACTAATATATGGAATATAGTATTTTTTCTTAAAATTACGCATTAATTAAAAATTTGAAGAATTTCGTGTATTTATTTTCAAATTAAACATAAATTTTAAAGGGACAAGTACTTTGAAGTTACGATCTGATTCATTTGTTGGTGCGTATGTATAAAAAATGGCAAGGAATTGACGTAATTTTGTCGATTACTCATTTCTGAAATAATAGGAATAAAGTATTCATGAAATATATCAACAAACAAATATTGGAAATTCTATATAGTAGCTAATTTATTTAATGGAGGAATATTATTATGCCTGAGTGTAATTCCTAATTTGCATTATTTTCTGTAAACATGTGCATGTTAGTCGCAAATTCAGAAAAGAGTATATACGAGCTGAAATGTACTAAAAGGCGGGAATGAAAAGAGACAAATATTATAGACCAAAATTTTCATTTTGGTTATATATAATATTATAATATATTTTATTTTATGATAAAATCGATAAAACAACAATAATTACAGAGGATGTTTTGAAATTTGGTTATTTCGCAATAGTAAAATATATTGTTCGATATTCATTAAATTATTTTAAGTTTCAAGTTTAACTTATTTCGTTCTATTTTGATAAATATCCAATCCCTATTCAACAATATTATTATTAATAAAATTATTTCCTTATATATCATTGTTAAATTATTTGTTGTATGTATATACAGAAAAATGTAATAAACCAAATACGTTATTTTGATTTTGGCATAGACTGTTCTTTAAACTGAATTTTAAATAAAATTAATTGTAAATCGACTTTTAAATATTCGATAATTATAATTTTAATAAAATCTAATAATAAACTTATTCTACTCTATTTTATTCTACTCTACAAATTAAAAAATGTTAATTTTTACACGTAACTGAACTAATTAGAATTATAATAAAAAAAAAGTACATTTTATGACACTTTCATATAAATTATAATTTTTTATCAATTTCATTATCTGTTAATGTAAGACGTTTTTCATTTAAAATAACAACTTTATTACTGAAGTATTGATTCAATATATAAAATTTTAATATATTTATTGTAAGCTTTGTTTAGGTATGAATTAATATGTATCGATCGAATATATGAATATGTTAATTTCTCGTTATGATAATATTTGATTTTTGCTCAAATTACCTATTAATCAAATAATTATCTATAAATATAATTGTACAATTTCTAATGATCGAAATATTCATATCACAATCATTCTTATAAAAATTTGGTAGTCTTTATATACAATATAATTACTATATAAAGACTAGAAATACATATATTCCTACCAAAAGTATTTTTCATAATCAAAATGAAGTATCAAGTTGCAGTCATTTTATTTACAATAGTAACGACAGGTAACTTCATAATTTTCATTTATTGAATTATTCTATTTATATAAAAATGTTATTATTTTATTTTAAATGTACGTTAGTAATTTAGCACACACTTGATTATCCATAACGTAAAAGTTATAATTTATTGAAAATAATTTTTAAATAATATATCCCTTAAAATATGCTGTTAAGCTTGGTTTGTTATGATATTGTACGGAAACTGTGAAATATGAAAATTTAATTTAACTTGTTATGCATATAAAACTTGAATTCCTTTGTCATTTGTAATTAACCAAATATTTAATACACCAGTGGACAATTTCGAATTTGAGGATTTTATAATTATAAAGAAATGTTTAGGCACTTTAGCCAAGGATGTGAGAATTATTGGAGGCGAAGATGGAAATGTGCGTACACATCCGTTTCTGGTATCATTCAAATACCTTGATGATTTTAAAGCCATTTGTGGAGGTTCAATAATCAGTAATAAACACATCCTTACCTCGGCTCAGTGCGCCAGAAATGTAAATACTGATGCACAATATATACGAGTCTACTCAGGAATAGCACTATTGGAGGGAAATGCAGGAAACGCGAATGAAATTGATACTGTTTTCATACATCCTGCATTCACAGCTGAACATAATCGCGATGAAATGTATCTGCATGATATCGCAGTCATCAAGGTAAAATGCTTGCAATTATTTAGAAATAATTTTGTCAACAAATTTATCGTCATCGCAGATTGTTTACATAAATAATTTGCAAATGTAATTTTGAATATCGATAGACACTAAAGAATTTGGCAATTATTATTTTAAGCGTAATTATGAGACTTCGCAAATATTAACGATCCCATTTTATAGGTGAAAGATGTTTTTGAATTTAATGAATTGCAAAGTGCCATAGAGCTTCTAGACAGAGATGTTACTGACAATGACAGCGGTTTTATTTTCGGCTGGGGATCAATGTCGCATCCCACGCCTACGTATCCTATACAAATGCAAAAGGCCGAAGTGCGTATTATTTCGCTAAGATTATGTATGAGTCTTTTAGCATTTCATCTATACGATTGCCAAATTTGCGCATATAACCAGTTAGGAATTGGTCCATGTTTGGTAAATATAATGCAATTAAATTATTACTTTGTGTTGTAATATTTGCTGCTTTCTGCTATTTTATATTCTTTGAAAAGAAATTTGTAATATTACAAATTTTTTAATATTTTGTAGGGTGATAGCGGAGGTCCGTTAGTGATTGATGGAAAAATTGCCGGAATCATTTCAGTTTCGATTCCGTGTGCCCAAGGTGTACCAGATATATATGTCAGAACACATTATTACATCGATTTCATAAGACACATGATGATTTTATAATTCACGTTATCTTGTCATTTTTTAATAGTCGCCCAGATTATTCTTACATATTGAGAATTGTAGTCCTACAATTGTTGTAGGATGTAATAATAAAAATGCATATTTTCCAATTAGTTATTAACTGTATTATTCAGTCGTTAATGTTATACTAATCATATTTCCGTAAGTTGTAGGTGGGGTCCAAACACCTTTCAATAATATGTTTTTTAATCAAAACCTGTGATTATGTAACACGATCAGATTTTCGTTTGAATTGCCGAAAATACTCTTTCTTGCGTTTAATTACGATAATAATTAATGCTACAAACATACATATATATTCATTATTTTTAATTATGCCATTATTTTTGATAATATTTATCATAAAACGAATTAATTTAAGCAAGCGATATCGACTAATTAAAAACTTATAGTATAATACACAGTTGATAATGAAATTGTTTATTAACTCTCGTAATATGTCTTATGTAATTACATAGATACATTACAAGATGACATTTTGTTTTTTTCTTTCGAAGCTATGTTGTTTCTAAACTTATGTTTGTTTAATGTAGATAAGAAATATATTAGTTATATTTCGAAATAATACTGCAAGATGCTTGGCTTTGATTATTATATAATTTGCTTTTAAATCGTTTGGTTGTCGGAAATATAATAATCTTTTTGCTAATGTTAATAATTTATTTTGTAAGTTTAGATTTATAAAATGTAAAATTATATCATTCATAAAAAAGTTTTCGGGTCTCAAGCATCAGTTTTTATTGTATTTTCATTTTTAACATAATCAATAATAACAAGTATTTACGTTATTACATTACATTATGATAGTACAACTTATTGTGATATAAAAGTAATTGGAAATATATTGATATATAACGATGATTTTCTTCAAATATAATATAATATCGTTGTGGATAATGGCAAATGGAATATTCTTTTCATAATAGTTAAAATAACTTTTCCAATTGTAATTTTCTTATATGTAGTGTTAATTTTCAAATCTTATTATGTAATACACAATTAAAAATGAAATATTAATTCGCGTAATTGATGTTCTGTACTATAATTAATATTAATTTTATGTGCATATCCAGTATTGCTCATGCAGTGAAAAATATTCATTGTCAAAATTAATCTTTGAAAACATGTGACATGGTTTTCTAATTAACCATAGAATATCTGTAATTCTTTACACTTTAAATACACTTATATTTATTGCCAAATAATGGATAATTACCATTAGAATTAAATCCAATAATAAAGGTATTAGACTGAAGTAGGTCATTTGCCTTAAAAATGTAAAAATTTGAATATTTTTATATTCATAAACTGTTTAGAAATATAATAGAAATTTGGATTTCAATAATTTGGATTATAGTAAAGGCAAGATTACTACCTTTTTTTTATTAAATTATTGTTATTTTGTAATTATACAAGTTACAATAGATGTTGGAATTTTTTTACAAATCTATAAATACAACATTAATATATTGTTAAATATTTATTTGGAAATTATTTTTATATATTACCTTATCGATATCAAAAGTATATTTATTAACTTATCGTTACGAAAATATTTGATTATCTGTTCTTTACGTATATTTTATAATATAATATTCAATAGTAATTATTTTTATCAAAATATTCATAAAAACTCTCAATATTTTTCCAACAGAATGTAACCTGTATATAAGCAAATGTAACAAATGATTCGTTACCAACATATTTAGAATTATGAACATGAAATCTCTAATTGCTGTCATTGTATTTGGACTATTATCTATTGGTAAGTGCGTGATTTATTTTTTTTTTTACATCTTTTAACTGATTGTGTTAAGATTAATATAAATGTTATTTAATAGCGTGTATTTAATAACGCTGTTAATGTCTATTTGAAATTTTGTTGAAATATTAACAATTAAAAAATTAAAAAACAATATAAAATTATAAAATTTACCTTCCTACGACCTTCTCATTATGAATGATTCGAATATGTTTCTAATTGTAAATTACAGGTGCTCTCTCAAAAAATGTGCGAATTATTGGTGGCGAAGTTGGAGATGTGCGATTATATCCATTTATAGCCAATTTTAAACACAACCAATTTTTGCATATGATTGGAAGCGGTGTAATAATAAGTAACAAACACATCCTTACAACCGCGCAAGTGGTTGTAGATTTTTTAGATCGTTGGGCTCATCTTAGGGTCTTTACAGGCACTGTATCCACGGAGTTAAGTCGAGGAACTCCGTATAAAATTGATGATATTTTTTTACATCCTAAATATACAGATGTACGTAATTATGATGAAATGCATCTACATGATATTGCTGTTGTTAAGGTAAATGGATTGGAGATAATAGGAGATAATATACAGTATGAAAATATTTCAGGATAGAATTATAAAGAAAATTTTAATCTGAATGTTGATAACAATTAAATATTCAATAGAAAATTCTAAATGTAAGCACATACATTTTTAGTATATTCAATAGAGTTCAAAGACCATAACCTCCATTTTTCAGCTCAAAAAATCAATTCCATTTAATGCTTTCCAAAACGCCATAGAGCTTTTAGACAGAGATGTTATTGAGAATGACCATGGATATGTTTTGGGATGGGGATCGACGACTTATCCGACTCTTTCATATCCAACGCAAATGCAAAAGGCCAACATGAGTGTCATTTCAGAAAATGTTTATTCTCAATATATCACCTTTCTAATACACGACACTCAGTTTGTGGCCTTCGACAAAGCAGGAGTTGGACCATGCGTGGTATTTTATTTCATTTTTTATATTCTGCATGCTTTCATTATTAATACAATATAATTTTTAGTCTTCAAGTGCTAACTCCTAAATACTATTAGTAGCTCCTGTTCAATATTAGGTTATCTATGTAATTTTAATGTAAATATTATTTCATTCTTTCATAAATTAATTGTTATCCAGACTGTAATATATGCCTAACGATTACAGACAATTTAAACATATTTAAGCTCAAACATATTGATATATTAATTGGATTATTTGTAAACTTATTTAATACATGTTGGAATTGTAAATTTACCAGGGTGATGTCGGAGGTCCGTTTATCATTGATGGAAAACTCGCCGGTTTAACTTCAGTATTGAATCCATGCGCCACTGGTAAACCTGATATATATACAAAAATTTACTATTATATCGACTTTATAGAAGATATGATGACTTTATAATCCATTGCTCATTAATATTGTAATAAACCATAAAATATATTCAAATCTGCCGACCTGTCGTCTACAGTATTTTACCAGCCGATCCACGTCATCCCCACCCCTTCACCGCCATTAGCGTCAAGATAATCGTATCTAAGTAGGGCGATGTTAAATATGATAATAAATTTAGCTTATAAATAAAAGCGTAAAGCGCATAGCGAACCGTAACAAATATTGTCTTGCTAACTTCTTTAGAGTAGTTAAAATGAGATATCGAATTGCAGTATTTGTATTTGTACTATTGGCTACCGGTAAGTTTAAAACATCTTTTGAATACTTTTGCTAATATAATTTCGAATTAAATATAGTTATTGTACAATTAAATTATTATACATAATCTAATGGTAATAATTGATTGAAATTTATTTCAGTTCTAATATTTAAATTCATTAAAGAATAAACAATACATGTTACAATAAAATTGTATAATTATCATAAGTTTTTGAGGAAATAATTGAATATATAAAACTTGTAATATAATAAATTAATACTAAATTCAAATATTTAAATTTTATACCATAAATTCAAATATAATGTTAGAGAACTTAAAGTAACTCAAAAATTTGAAAAAAGAGCGCAATTTGTTATAGACCTAATCATTATAATACTTCCACAATTAAGAAAAAAAATTAGTTTGATAAATCGACTCACAACATATTTATAATTTATAATTAAAATACTTTATAATTATAAATAAATATTTAGGCGCTTTAACAAAAAATTTGAGAATTCTTGGCGGTGAAGACACATATGTTCGAAGATATCCATTTACTGCCACGTTTAAATATATTACAAAACCTAATATTTTCTGTGGCGGTTCAATAATCAGTACTGAGCATATCATTACAACGGCTCAATGCCTTTTATATGAATCAAATAATTTGGAACAAATTAGAGTTTACACTGGGAATACTATGGAGTCAAATGCAGAAAATGAGCACGAAATAACTAGGATACTTAATCATCCGAAATTTACAGCTAAACAAAATCGTGATGAAATATATCTACGTGATATCGCAGTTATCAACGTAAAATATATATAATTCTTATAGGTTTTACATTATTATTTGGAATTGCAAAATATTATAATTTCTACTTAATTTTGGACTTTATAGCTTAAATTTACATAATGGTATCTATAAATATAAACGTTTTAATTAGCTATTTTCAAATAAGAATAATAATGTTTTCATACATTGATTATTATTTACCCTATACCTATTTATATACTATTTAGCTGAAAAAAGCAATTGAATTTAATGAATTCCAAAGCGCTATCGAACTATTAGACAGAGACGTTGCTGAGAATGATAACGGATTTGTTTTGGGATGGGGATCAACGACTTTCCCAGAAAATTCATATCCTTTACAAATGCAAAAGGCCGACATGAGAATTATTCCAGAAAGATTTTATTCTACATATTTTAAATTTCTTGTACACGATACTCAATTTTGCGTATTGGATAAAAAGGGAGTAGGAACGTGGACGGTAAATATTTTCCTTTATACCCTCCTCTCTCTGACCATCACGGTCTACGTCTATTTATATTATCATTGTTTCACTTGATATGAGTTACTTTACATATTAAATTCAGTAGAAATTTTATTAATTTTCAACGAATATCATAGAAAATTATTATATATTCCTAATAAGACCTATGCCTTGACGCAGACAATGTATACTTCATATTATCCTCGATGTATTTGTTGACATAATGTGAAGCTTTCTACAATATTCAGAAAAAGAGAAAACACTGAAAATTTCCTTTATGAGATTTTCTTATATTCGAAAATATATTTAAACTTTTACAATTTGGAATTTTCTAGGGCGAGGGTGGAGATCCGTTTGTAGTGGATGGAAAACTCGCCGGTTTCGTATCACTTACTCATCCATGCGCTCTTGGTACACCTGATATTTATACAAAAATTTATTATTATGTTGATTTTATAAGAGAGATGATGAATAGATGATACATTGTAAATTGATCCTGTAATGCACCATTAAATATATTTAAATCTGCCGACCTACCGCCTACAGTATTTTACCAGCCAATCCACGTCATCCCCACCCCTTCACCGCCATTAGCGTCAAGATAATCGTATCTAAGTAGGGCGATGTTACATATGATAATAAATTTAGTTTATAAATAAAATTGAAATTCTTCAACTATTTCCTCTAACGGTTAATAAGTATTTATCAAATGTTTATTTTGAAAACAATAAAGATAAAGATTTGTTTGTGATGTTAAATGTGTATGGAGAATGAGTCACTAACGTTTCATGGATAATTACGTAAAAAAAAACAACTGATCAAATGTCTCAGGCCAAATCGAAAACTAGTTTCATTCGTTATTAAATTTTTGTTAAATTTAATTGTAAGTCAGCGACGGGTTCGTTCTATGAGTCACATTGCATTGCTCCACGAGATCCGTTTGCCAAAATCATCCCGAGGAAGGCTAATTAAGAAAATAGTGGATTAAGTGTCAATGAGCTGGGAGATAATCAATTGAAAATTGAAAGGATCGATGCCCCTTATCACTGGCCAAGTGCAATTTTGAGTTCTTAATGTCACTCGGGGATGGCAAAAGTAAGGCTCTGCGCGATCGAAGAGCTCCGCCATTGTTTCACTATTTTGGATCTTCTTAATATATTTCATATTTCGAACATTGAATGATGAACGCTTTATTGGCAATGCAATTTTAGAATAAAATTAGATATTTCAATATAATTAGTATCTAACATAATTGACTACTTCTTTAATAAACGAAATAAACAAAGATCTATATAAATAAAAACCCAAATATGTTGTGATGGATTAATAATCAGCAATCAGTATATTCTGACAGCCGCTCATTGTCTTTTCACTCAATCAGGAGATTACAGTAACATTAGAGTATACACGGGAATAACTTTTATGGATGCTGTTTCAAGAGGAGGACACGATATCGCTCGAGTTTTCTTTCATCCTGCATACACCGGGGAACATACAAATGAACAAATAAATCGACACGATATTGCAGTTGTCAAGGTAGCGGCAATTTCACGATTTTTTAAAAATTCTTTATGCTTATGATATCTTATAATATCCATGACTCAAAGAAATTTCTTAAATCATCTAATAAAAACGGTTTATTCTACAGGTAAAACATGTGATTGTATTTAATAATTATCAAAACATGATAGATCTTCCAGACAGAGACATAGATGACGAAGACAGTGGCTATGTTTTGGGCTGGGGTTCCATATCTCATCCAAACAATACATTTCCCATGCAATTGCAAAAAGCTTATATGTACATTTACCCGTTAAGGGACTGTTTTGAAATTTATAGTTTGGAAACGGCTGTTGGACAATTTTGTGCGTATTATAAGGAAAATGTCGGACCGTGCATTGTAAGTTTTCCAACTCATATCATACTGTTTTTTTCTTTTATTCGCTGCTTATATTCGCTAAACAATGGTATTTACATTTTGTTGTATTTAATTTGTTCGTTTAGAAATATTATTGACCTTGTCAAACTTTTCAGGGTGATAGCGGTGGTCCATTGGTAATTAACAAAAAGCTTGCTGGTGTTGTTTCATTTAGTATGCCATGTGCTCAAGGCATACCTGATTTTTATACCAATGTTTACTATTATCTTGATTTTATTAGGTTTTTTTTAAAATAATTGTGGATTTTGTTAATATTTCGAATAATCTAATAAATACATTACTTGTTTAAATATATGATTTTTTTAATGCAAAATGTAAATTGGAGATGCGTATGTGATATAATATAAATTAGAGCGAACCTTTTCTTTGGAATAGGATTGTCATTAATGATAAGGTATTATCATATAAAAAACAAAGCGTATCTGTAATCTGTTCTACTCTTATTACTGCCATTAACAAAATTATAAAACATAAATTGTCATATATTGGGTATGTGTTAACTCACTTAGTAGTTTTCTCGATTTAATATTAAATAAGATTTTGTTATTAATTGTTATTATCAATTATGTAACCTCCCTTTTTCATTGTCCTCGCATAAAAACTTTTTGAATTAAATGAGTTCTCCTCCCGTTACTAATTCGAACTTAATTTTATTTTGTTTTTGTTTTGTTTTTATACAATTCTCAGAGTGTCCGACCTAGAATGATAAAATTTGTTGAAGAAGAAATTCTAAATTTCTTCGAACTATAAATAATAAAGTATTCCCAAGTTTTTAATTAATTCGACGAATTTATTGTTTACTTCTTTATGTGATCTAACCTGGCGTGTGACTTTTCCTTTCCGAACACTCTGGCATATAATTAGTCGTTTAGTCGTACAATATTCATATAATCGAAAGGAAAAATCAATCGATTGACTTACGATCGGAAAATAACCTTTGCTAGTATTTAAATTTCATAGTTATACAAAAGGTAAAGTAATTATTTCTTACGATTGTTATATGGGATAGTGATAGAAAGTATAAAAGCATATAGTGTTGTATGCAGTAACGTAGTTACAATAAATTTTAAATCTACTCTGTAATTACTAGTAAAATAATTTAGAAAATAACATACGAGAATAGAAGAAATGCTAATTTTACTTAAACAAGCCAATTCGTTTTTAATGCTTATATTTTCATTTCTGATCGTCATTAATAGTATTTGTAGTGTTTCTGAAATGCTCGATGAAGATATTCTAATTTAATATCTACAAACTAATAATGTCTTACTGTTCATTAGCTAATTAGATACTAAAGTTTATTCAATTATCTTTACTCAATCTTATGATGTATGTAAATATTGTTTTAGCTATAGCACATACGCAAACTTGAAAAATCGAGGTAAGACAAGTCGTAGGCTTCTCTAATCTCTAAAGTACACTTATTATTTTGCTATAATTAATGCCTGAAAATATCTGGAAATTTTGAAATCGAAATTATATATTTATATGGTAAAAATGTTTTCTATAGATAAAATTAAAACAATTTATCAACAGTATTTCTTGGAATGCTTGATATTACATTACATCTTTCTTATAATAAAAATTATAAAGATATTAATCAAATAGAATAACGTAAATAAGTTTTAAAAATATCTTGAAAAATCTAATAATAATAAAAAAAATTTTAATTCATATCTAATGTTCATTTACAGTAATAAGTAATGTTGAATCTATGAATCAATGCCTTTGAATGTCTCCTTAATTACATGGTTTTATAAGTTTTATTATGCTGTAGACAAAAACCATATTTCTTATTTGATAATATAAAAAAATATCTATTAGATTTAATTATCAGATAAATCTACAAAATGCTATGAATGAAATTTAAAGATTAATTTGTAATAACATGTGTAGTTAACTCAAGAAATACTAAAAATTAACTTTTTCTACAAATTTTCGTACTAAAAAGATTTAAATGAATAATTACTTTTATATTTTACATTTTAAATTAACTATCTTTGAAGCTTCATTAATTATTCGAAATATAGTAATTATTATTCTAATAAACTGTAGCAGTATATATTTACATTTTTAAATATAAATTATATATTTAAATATAAATATACAACTATTTTAGATATGTAAAATCTTACGATTTTTGTAGATAAATTTTTGTACGTATATGCAAATTTTTATGATTACTTTGAAAAAATTTGAAACTTGCCCACTAAATTATTATCTTTTATTATCGATTTTAGTTAAGTTGAGATATACGAAGAATTATTTTAGAAATCTATAAGCTTCATTTGAGACGTCTTTAAATATTCCCTAAAACGATTATTATATTCATTAGATATTTAAACCAAAAATTAATATGTATCAATACAAATGGATATATTAACTTATCGTTACGAAAATATTTGATTTTCGATTAATTGAAACTTTTAATATAATTTTTAAAGATCCTAATTAATCTTTAGAAAAATAATTGGTATAAAAGCTTGATATTCTTGTAATGTAATAAGTATATAAAGAACGTAGACTTTATGAATATATTTAGAATAGTCAAAATGAAGCTTCAAATTGGAATCTTTTTATTGATATTATCCATTGCTGGTAAGCATAATAATATAATGTTAAATAATTATTTTAAAATTACTTTGTTAATTACCGATTCTACTTCAATATATGGAAAATATTAATGAGTACGAGTAGTGGTCTATATATTACAATGAAATATTATAATATAACGTCTCTGTTTATAAATAAATTTTGTAATTAAGGCAATTAATATTATGAAATATTTTTATTGGTATATATTTGAAATTTAAATTTTACAATTTTAAATAAGCGTAAGAAGTTACGTTCAAGTGTCTTCGTAAATCAGATACATATGATCAAATATAAACCCAAAATTAATATTTCTAGTCTATAAATTAAAAAAAAAAATTATATAATACAACTAACTATTTATAAACTGCATACATACACACATATATATATATATATATATATTAAACATAATTTATGACATAGTAAAGTATCTTAATTTTTTCTTCGTACATTCATTAATATCTTACATTACAATTAATATACCTATTAACTATCTATCTACAATTTTCAATTTGAATATGTTATAATTCTTAATAAATTTTTAGGAACTTTGGCAAAAAATGCGCGGATCGTTGGTGGAGAAATTACAAATACAAATTCTTATCCTTTTTTAGCATCGTTTACATACTCCCAATCAAATCAAGTATTTTGTATTGGTGGAATAATTACTAATAAGCACATTCTTACAGCAGCCCATTGTCTTTTTAACGAACCAAGAACTTTTAGACGTATAAAAATAAAAACAGGAATAAATAGTACAAATAGTAATGGTAGAGTACTGCATGAAATTGCTAAAGTTGTCTTTCACCCTAAATACGATATATTAAAATATAGAGAAAGAATAAAACCATATGATCTAGCAGTAGTTAAGGTAAAAAATTTTTTAGTAAATATAATTACTAGCGGTATAGCAATAATTGTTTTTTTTTAACATTTTATTAATATCTACGGATTTCAAAAATTAATTATTATGAATTTGAAATGTTAGCGGTTCAACATACACCATTAAAATATTTCTTTGATAGGTGAAAGTAGCAATTGTACTAAATGAATTTCAAAACATGATAGAGCTTCCAAACACAAATATTTATGATGCTGCTGGTTATATCGTGGGCTGGTCATCGAGAACACAAATAACCGATTTATCTTCTGAGCAATCACTACGAAAAGTCAATGTAATCATTTATTCGAAAGAGAATTGTGCCAATGCTTACCAAATTAAACTTTATATTGGTCAATTCTGTATACGTAAAGAAGCGAACGAAGGTCCAAGTGTTGTAAGTTTACTGTAACAAATAATAATAATTTATTCTATTAATTACATTATTTATATAAAAAAAAAAAAAAATGCATCCGTTGAACAGTATACCACTTGAATTAATCGTACTAAGACGGTTTCTGAATTACATTTTCAAAATTTATTCTCTTTTTTTAAAAAATAAAATAAAAATAGCACAATTAATTTTTCTATTATAAATTTTTTTGATTTTCAAGATATTTTAAATATAACTATCCTTATGAAACTTTTCAGGGTGACAGCGGTGGTCCATTAGTAATGAATGGTAAAATCGTTGGCGTAGCTTCAATTATTTTGCCTTATCGTGACAATTTACCTATCGTTTATACCAGCATTTACCAATACCTTGGTTTCATCTATGAGGCTTTAGCTGCTTAATCCACGAATTTTAATATTTTAATATTGAATAAACGTTTTCCTTAAGTAAATTTTTATTTTTTTAACAGCAAAAATAAATATAAGAATCTAATTCAATAGAATATGCTCTTAATACAATATTCATATATTTAAACATAGAAATGGAACCATTAATAACTTAGATTATATGTTTAAAAAATATTTAAATATCTAAAAAATTATTCATATTAAATAGTTTTATTAATACATATTTCAAAATTAATTTTATCTTAAAAAAATCTTGAAATTTATAAAATATGGTTTCACATAATTTGTTGCAAGCTTAGATCAAATTTTATCAATAGCTAATAATAATCAACATAATATATTTATTATTACATTTAAACACCGTTGAAATATGCGAATGTTTTAAATATATGATAATAATATTCTTTATTTGTAAATTTATCACTTGTAAATTAAGAAATATTCTCACATTATTCTTTTACTACTTGAAATGATATAAATATATAATTTTCATATGATATCTAACTCTTATTATAAACTACATTCGATATATTTTATCTATTTTATATATTTGGTTCAGATAAAAATGTTTTTTTAATCTAATCAATTTTAAATATAATCCGTAATTGCGTACTACTATATTTGTATTATAAAGGATAAAGTATCGTAAAAAAATATAAAATAAAATATTATAAATAATTTTCATCAATTTATGTCTATATAATTAAATACAATTCTTTTATAAAGTTATATATTTAATAAATAATTATATAAAATTTTAATAAAAATTGTGTTTGTGTGTGTGTGTGTGTGTGTGTGTGTGTGTGTGTGTGTGTGCGCTGTTGCTTCGATGTATCAAGAAACTATTTAGTAAGTTTTGTTCTAGAAATATAATTAATGCTTTACATAGTATTTAACAGTACTTTGTGAGAGATTTTCGATAAATCTAAAATTTATCGAAAATTTATTTGATGATAATTTACATATCATCCATAATTTATTATATATAATTATTTCATTCCTCTATTGCCTTTTATATCGATATATAAAAATCTTTTTATTAACTTTATAAATGAATTAATATTTTAGTATATCAATATCTTAAATTTATATTATATTATAACTTTAGTATCTTCGTGGGCATAATATGATTATGCTACCAAACTATTTATTAATAACTTTTTATGTTTTATTCAATTAACATATCTATTTATATTACATAATATTATATATTAATTAAAACTATTAAACAAAATATATATACATGTTACAAGCTGATATATTATTATTATTATTTGAAATTGGAGCCCTACAATCATATACATATTAAATCGCAACGTATTAAAAGACAGGATTATTGTAGATTATGGCAGGTCAGTAATGACAATTACTCTTTTATATTATTACTAATTTATGACATTTACATTCATTTTTAATAAAAATATGTCGAGCTTATTCAAAATTCTATATCTTATTCATTTTGACATTCTTTATTCAATCGTATAAATATATATATATATATATATATATATATATATATGCTTTAAATAAATTAATTTGGGTATTATATTAAACACGATATATAAATAAAATTATTTTTCTTTAACAACAGGGACAGCTTTAATAATTTCCGATTAAAATAAAAATAAATTTTTAAATTGTTTATCATTTTTATTTACTTTTTTATAAATTCATCATAAAAAACTATAAAAATTTATGTTTGAATTACAAAATTTATAAACATCAGAATAATATTATAAGATGTTTATATTAGTATATAAGATATCGAATTATTTAATTTAAATATCAAATTTAAAAGAAGACATAATATTATATATAAAAATTAGTATATTCAAATAATAATTCATTTGAAAAAATTATTCAGTTTACTATTCTAAAAATAATATTTTTATTATTATTTCATCTTTAAACAAAAATTATTTAATTATTTATAGGTGCTGTATATTGATAAATTGATAAAATTTAATAAAAAATAATTTGATTTTTAATAAATCCGAATATTGTTGTAATCTTATTAAAGGTATGCTTTGAAAATTAAATTAACAAAAATATTTTATACATCAAATAAATAGAAATGAATTTTTCTTTTTTCGTAAAAGTTAGTGAATATTTGATGTTTTTAAAAATAATAAATATAAAGATTTGTTTGTGATGTTAAATATGTATGGAGAATGAGTCACTAACGTTTCATGGATAATTACGTAAAAAAAAACAACTGATCAAATGTCTCAGGCCAAGTCGAAAACTAGTTCCATTCGTTATTAAATTTCTTTAAATTTAATTGTAAGTCAGCGACGGGTTCGTTCTTTGAGTCACATTGCATTGCTCCACGAGATCCGTTTGCCAAAATCATCCCGAGGAAGGCTAATTAAGAAAATAGTGGATTAAGTGTCATGAGCTGGGTGATAATCAATTGAAAATCGAAAGGATCGATGCCCCTTATCACTGGCCAAGTGCAACTTTGTCTTCTTAAATCGTTCGAGGAAGATAAAGTGTCAAGTATACTATTTTTTTAATGTGAAGTTTTATATATAAAATATATATATATTTTTATATCAAATTCGTGATCTTTAATAAATATATATTTCTTCCTCAGATGAATTTTGAGTGCTTTAAAAGTGAAATAAATTATTATTTGAAACGTCACACCACTCCTCCGATTAAGGATAAATATATTGGACAGCAACTTTAGTATAGTGTAATTTTTTTCTTATCAATAAATAAATTGGAAGATATATTAAAGATATATTGGAAGAATAGATATATTGGATATCAGCTTAGAATGAAGGACACAATACGAATTAGTGGACAATTTTTCTTAAACAATTTTAATTATTTAATCGAGCATAAATATTTTATGATTGGAGTGGCAAACTGGTTGATTCGTGTATACAGTGAATGAGATCAAGATTTCGAATCGTTTATTATTAATTATGGTATCATTTAAAGTTATTTATTTATTATATATATATATATATATATATATATATATATATATATAAAGCATTTAGGTTTATTTATTTATTTACTGCTACTTCAAAGCATTAAATTTCAAATTATTTTTCTTTTTCGTCATTCGATGACTACTATTAACGAATATCGTATATCACAATATAAATTTACTATGAGCTTTTAATGGAAAACCTATTTAATTATCCAAAGGTTAGCGGATTGTAATCGAGAAAAAAGCCATCTTCTCCAAAAATATTATCTTCTCCCAAATATATACTTATAATAAACCTTTGATAAATTATTAGCATAAAATATTTATACCTTATAAATTTAGGAAAGTCAATTATTTAATTATTAAAAATATTAAAATATTTATTTAAATTTTTTCACATATGTATATTCTTAAAAAAGATACTGCGATTCTGGATTTTTAAGATAAAATATTTCAGTTTAATTGGGATAAATGATTAATGAAAATACATTTGTTATACTGTTATTTCTCATACTATTTATAATACAACTAATTTTTCAATTTTATTTCAATTAATTTCAATATATTTTAATAGTTGCATTAAATATGTTGGATAGAATTTAATTCTTTAGTTAAGGTAATTAATTCAAATGTTATGCAAATAGATTAACATTATAATTTAGAACGGACAAGAAATAATTTGAAAAATATGAAATCTATTGCCACGTAGTTTATATATGATTTGTAATTATTGAATCAATAGTTTTACTGTTTAATATTTCATAAGTCAAATTTCCTTTATTCCATTTCGAATAAATTGATAAATGCTAAAATATTTTTTAATGCAATATATTAAAAATATATGGACAAGCGATTAATAATTAGTCTTATTCAGTACATAATTAATTTTACATTTAACAATAAAGAATATATATTTAAATAATTGTAAATATAAGTTTAAAATATAATAAAGAATTATATTTAAAACTTTCTTGATTTTAAAACATTTTTAATTTCAAATTTTTTAATTATTTTATTTTGTTTTCATTATATATATACACTATTTTATTATTTTTCGAGCAATAAATTATTTCAATTAAGCAATAATTTATATATACGTACAGAAACAGATGCTGATATATTAATGATAATTATCTCTATCTGTGCCCTCATCTGACACAAATATATAAAGTGATTTAGTTAAGAAAGTTAATGCAGTAATTAATTATTCAATTAACATTAACTCTTAAACAAGATTCTAGAATAAATGAGTAAATTACAAATAACCTAGAAAATAGTAGAAAAAATTATCATACTCTCGTAATATATTAGATATTTTTAAATGTTAGGAATATTTAATACATTAAAAAGATTTATATATGATTAAATAAATATAAGGCTTAATGTTTCTTTCTATTTTTAAAAAGGAATATATGTCTTTCTTCAATTGAATTGGATAATTTTATTATAAATAATAACTTTTTTTTTCAATATTCATAAGCATTTGAAAAAAACTTTTTTTATAGTCAATAGAACTATTGAACATATTCTAATTTTTTTTCAAACAATAATTAATATGTATCAATATAAATGTAAATATTCACTTATCATAATGAAAATATTTAATTTTTTATTAATTGTGGTTATTTCATACTAAAATTTTCAACGATCTAAAAGATATTATATATATATATATATATATATATATAATGCACAGTAAAGAAAATATAACCCCACTGACTTATTGAAAATGGACAAACTAAATTATCAAAGTATGGTCAATTTATTTGCAATATTTACTATTGGTAAGTAACTTTTTTATTTAATTTTTATTTCATAATTTCATGAATGAAATTTTGAATATTCAATCTTTTGTTTAAACTAAATGTGAATTAGTTTTGGTGAGAGAATTTATACATCAGCTAACAAAACATTAATTTTCATAAATGTTTATTAGTTAGTTAATAATGCATTATTAATTTATTTTTTCCAATCCACATCAATAATGTTATAATAATTCATGAAAAATTTCTTTTAATACTGCATACGCAATTAGTTTAAACTAATTTTATTTTAAATTAAATACTCTATTCATTGTAAATTTTTCAACAAGTAAGAAAGTGGGTACGTATAAATTTAAATTAACTTATTGTATTATGAATATAAACTTATCTTTACGAAAATATTTGTCTTTATTTTATAGGGCAATTTAAAATGATCTAAAAATTTATTTAAAATGAACAAAATGAGTAATTTGTCATTTTAATTATTAATTATTGGTGAAAAAATGATATAATTTATATTTATCAAATGAAGTAAATATTACATCAATATAATATTTTTATAAATTTTTTTATTTTACTAAATACATACCAATTTTATGATATTATTTTATTAGTAATAATAAATATATAAATGAATTTTGGTAATTTCGTAGAAATACTTGTAAATTAGTATTCTTCTTATTTTGTAAATCGGATTTTTATAAATTCTTTAAAAAATTAATAGAAAAAAATATTATTGAATTATGCCTTACATATATAAAGATACTTTACATATAAATTGGTATCAACTACATGTTATGTTTAATTAAATAAATTCACAAATAGTTCTATTGGAATTCTCATATTATAATGTCATAATAATAAATCAATTTTTAGGCGCTTTGGGAATTTTTGCCAAAGATATGCGGATTATTGGCGGTAATAACACTCGTATATATAAAAATCCGTTTATGGCATCACTCAGATATATAGAATCTAATATAATATTTTGTGGAGGTTCAATTATCAGTAATAAACACATTCTGACAGCGGCTCACTGTGTTTTTCGTGAATTAGACAATGTAAATTCTATAGTAGTGTACACAGGAATAGCTTTGACTCGTAGTACTAGTGGCTGGTCTCACACAATTGATACAATTGTCTGTCATCCTGAGTTTACTGGAGAAGATTCAGATGACGACGAAGATTCAAATGATGAAATATATGTCCATGATCTAGCAATTATTACGGTACAATTCTTATAATAAACATAATGAAATATCATACATTCACATATTTATCTTAATATAGCAAATTTTAATGAATTCATATTAATCGTATAATAAATATTATCTATTTAATATATAGTCTTACATTACAAAGAAAAATATTTTAAAGAATAATTGAAATAATGGCTCGTGGATGTTTGAAAAATGAAATTATTTATTATGCAGGTGAATGAAGAAATTAGATTGAATTTTTTGCAAAATGTGATAAATCTGCCAAACAGAGAGATCTATGATGATGACAGTGGTTATGTGTTGGGCTGGGGTTCAACAACTCATCCGAACGATACATTTCCCGTTATATTGCAAAAAGCTTATATGTATATTTATCCATTAGCGAATTGTTCAGAAATGTATGACTTTCGATTACATATTGGACAATTTTGTGCTTATAACGATGTAGGAATCGGCCCATGTATGGTAAGTATTTACGATCATTATATTAATCATTTATATGATTACCGAAAATTTATATTTTCATGACGATAATTATAGTACAATTTGAATATAATATTTTGGCAAAATTTATATTAAGTGTTTAGTTATTTAATTTAAAAACATTTTTACTATCCTCAGAAAAAGTAAGCCCCGCCTAATTCACTACAATCTATTTACAGGGAGATAGCGGTGGTCCATTTGTTATCGATGGAAAAATCGCCGGAATAGTTTCATTTAATTATCCTTGTGCGCATGGCGTACCTGATTTTTACACCAATGTTTATTTTTACATCGATTTTATTAGGAATATTTTAAATTCGTAATCCACAAATTCATAAAGCTTCGAATTCATAAGATTCGAATACATTACTTGGTACAATTTTTGAGCTTTTTAAAGCTAATTTATATTATATTATATAAATTGTAAGATCTTATATAATATAATATAAATTATGAGTGCAAATTTCGTTTGAAATGGCATTCCATTAGCATGGAGTCATTATTGTAAAATAAAAGAACCATACTATAATAATTAAGTAAACGCACCTTATAATAATTTACATAATGAATAATCTAAGATATATATTAAAACGCAGAATTAGATTGTGTAGAATAATAAATATTCAGAAATAGCAATCCATTATTAAATATTTCAATCAATTAAGTATTATTATATCATAATGTAATTGAGCCTGAAATTAAGGTTTTCAATATTTCTTTATCTATCCTTCTTACACCACCTGTATTTAAAATAGATTTTAATTGTCTATTATTAATTTAAAATGAATTACAAATCTACAAATATTATTAATGCTTATAATTGTATGTATCTGTGATGGCACAATTGGAGCAGAAAATATAGATAAAGATTATCGAACCACCAAATACAGGACTATATGTTAACCGTGAAAATCGATTTAATAATCTGGCTCTTACGATTTGGAAACTTGTAAAACAAAATTGCATTATTCATTACATATTTGGTATGCATCACTTCGACTACCATCGATCAAAGTATTATACAAGTAAGACCCAGCAACATCCATATTGGATGAACATCATTTTATATTCCAATGTGTACTAAAGCTTACAGCCCCAATATAATTTGTTTTTGTAGTGATACATTCTCATATGTAGCTTCTTCACACGTTCAATCTCATTTTCTTCTGTGCAATCGTAGTTCTAGATTATCACAGCATTGACTGTCGTTGTATAGAACGGCAGAGAGAGAGAGAGAGAGAGAGAGAGAGAGGCAGTCTCTCTTTTGCGTCCTCTCTAATCTATTTCCGGTGCTTTGCATTAAAAAGCAGAAAACTTAAATGCAAGGATTAATGTTAAGTACTACTCCCTGGACAAGCCCATTGGGTCCTAGAATAAACACGGTTCAACCGAGTTTCGGTCGCAGTCGGTGCGCCAACAAATTGTCACAACCTTTATGGGAGAAAGAAGTGGTCCAACGATGCGCACACACAAGTATTTTAAGCTTCCTCAAGCTCGAATCTTAGCACATCGAAATCCGTCTCCAGATATTTCAAAACAATGGCAATACGCAAGAATGGACAGAACGGAAATCATCATATCACTTTATTTAGCTCAATTAGTTATGTAGCAAATGATAGAGGAAATCTTATGGTATCGTGGGTAATGTCACTATGTAGTGGTAACGAGTCTCGAGTACATTAGCAAAGGACAAATCGTTACTACAAGACAAATCATAAAGATTACAAAAAGAAAAAATGATCCACTATAAAACATATTAATGTCTTCCGATACCCAGGATCGCTCGAATTTAAATCGAAAACACGTGAACAACGTTAACACGTGAAAAACTCGTGAACAACGATTACGTACCTTCAGTTCGGAATGCTTTCTAATTAAATGCCAATAATTATACAAAACGGCAGTGTTCAATTATCAGTTATATGACTAATATTATATATAATCAATATTGTAAATATATAAATATTATTCTACCGATTATTGTAAAGATCGCACAAATGTTGCCTTCAAGACGCCGACTACGATATGTAGGTCGCAGTCTTCTATAATCTTTGATAAATATTCGTTTTCTTTGTCGATTAAAAGATTGGTTGTAAACAAAAGAATTCTGCAAATTTTTACATTACAATGAAGTAAAGTCTCACAATTGCGACATATTCTGTCGAAACTTATAGTTACTTGGAAAATAAGCGATATTTATTGTTTTAATAGCTGTAATAATGCACATAATATATTTTTTTAATATTGTTTTACTTGCTATAATATATAATTGTTTTACTTGCTATATACACATAATATATTGTTTTAATAGCTGTAATAATGCACATAATGAATATAATAGCTGTAATAATGCACATAATATATTTAAATAAAAGGCTATTTTTAAAATAAAAAATTATTCATATTTATACATAAGTGAATAACTTAGTCACTAACTAGTGAACTTATAATATATAATACATGTTCAATTTTTTATTTTACAATACTTCTTAAATTAATATTAATTATAAATTTCATTGGTTCGATTAATGATAACAATTTAATAGAAATATTATAAGCATGTCGTTGAAATATTTTTTATTATTCTAGAAAATAATAGTTTATATTATCTTATCGATACAATAAATGTATATATTAACTTATCATTACCAAAATATTTGATTGTCTGTTATTTATGATAAATTTGTAATTTTCAATAATTTTAATTTCTACAACAAATATTCACGTAAAAGTTATATATTGTACAAATACAATACAATACGTATATAAAGAACGACAATATATATATTTTATTAACACATTTAAAATATTAAAGATGAGAAATCTAATTACAGTCTTTGTATTTGCACTACTAACGATCGGTAAGTTTATGATTTACATCCTTTAATTTATTGTGTTAATATAATTTAAAAGATAAAATAATTTTTGCATTTACGATTATTTATAATATAGTATATGAGAATTATTTAAAATTCTTTCCAATTTTATTATTCTAATTTATGTATTTATAAATATAAAAATTTCGAATTCGATTGTATAATCATTATAGGAGTTTCGAAGATCTGTATGTAAAAAAATGTTTCATGAAATAAATTCATATTATGGTGCAGCAGTTAATTTGCTATATATATATATAATTAATTATAAAATGTTAAAAGGTACGGTGGCTCAGAAAAATAAAAATTAAATTTCAATTTTATATTTGATATATACATTATCACTGATGTAATTATCGAATTTAGAAATTAAATGCAATTTAATAAATGAACGGGTAATCTATTTGAAATGCATAAATTATTATAATTAAGTTGTAATAAAACTATAAGGTATAATTATAAATTAATTTCTAGGCAGTTCGGCAAAAAATGTCCGAATTGTTGGCGGCCAGGAAACAAATCCCAGAAAATATCCATTTGTAGCAGCATTCAAACATGTTAGCGATCCAAATTTTTTTTGTAGTGGTGCAATACTTAGTCACAAGCATATTGTTACAACGGCGCAGTGCATGCGCAAATTTTTTCGTGATTTAACCAATGTTACAATATACACTGGTATAGTTTCTTTAGAATCGAATGAACTAAATACATATCAAGTTGCTCGGGCTGCTATAAATCGTAGATATACAGGTAAAAAGGATAGTGATGAGGCGTATCTACATGATATTGCAGTTGTGAAGGTAAAATACTTGTAATTAATATAGTGCATTATTATTTGAGAATATTAAGCCTTATCATTTTTATTCTATTATGGAATTTAATTATAGTTTAAATTTAAATGAGATTATCGATAAGTATTAACGATTTAACAGGCTAAATTTTATTTTAAGAAATTTATTTATTCAGAAATTCATTATCATTTAGATAAATACGTTATTTTTTTTTAGGTCAAAGGAGAAATTCATTTTGATGAATTCCAAAATAAGATAGAGCTTTTAGACAGAGACGTTACTGCTAGTGACAGAGGCGTTCTTTTGGGTTGGGGAGCAATGACTTATCCAGAATATTCATATCCGGTAAAATTACGCAAGGCCGCAATGAAAATTGTTCCACAAAGATTTTATTATAAACATTTTACTTTTCTTATACACGACACTCAATTCATGGCATTACGTAAAGCCGGAGTTGGTGCATGCAAAGTAAGTATTTTTATTTTAATTATTATATTCTACTCAGTTTCATTATATAAGAATTTTTATTATTACTCTTTAACTTGCAATGAATTGATCAAATTAATGACTCTTGTAGACTATTAAGTTTAAATCAAGTATATCTGATTATTTATTATATTTTCTTATTAAAAAACGGTTTGATTAATTGATTCGATATTTCTCAATTAAAAATATCTCTGATGTATATAAACATAATATGAAAGGATTTTATCTTTTCTATTAAAAGTTAAAGTAGTGATTCCTAGAGTTTTAATTTTTAGTCATATTACATATATATATATATATATATATATATAATTATAAAGTAATTTTGAGTGTTACATAGTTTTCAAAATTTTCCAGGGGGATAACGGAGCTCCATTTGTAATCGATGGAAAACTCGCCGGTTTAGCATCAGTTATTGATGAGTGCGCTGAGGGAATTCCAGAAATACACACAAAAATTCACTACTACGTCGATTTCATAAGAGATATGATGAATTATTAAACTATAGTATCTTGATCTTGTAATGTTTGATTACTTGTATTCACATTCACAATCTAACTATTACATTGATAATGGCAACTACATTTTCCAAGACGAATTCTGTGTCATTGTAAACTAATGTTCTTTTATAAAAATTAATTTTTTTAATTTGGTGTTAACAAAAATTTCATCATGAAATTACATAGATAATATTTGAACTTTTATTACATAATCGTCTAGTATCTTTTAAGTAATTATCGCTAAAAAATAACGTTAGGTTATTACGTAATTTTATTATATTTAGAATTGCATTACAATGAATATAATTGTATATTTATAATATTAATAATTTCTTTTTTTTTTAATCTCTCCTCTTTTACTTAAAATTTAAAAAATATTGTATCTTTATTTTTAAACCGAATATAAATTTCAAATGAACAAATTATTTTTAAATTACTAAATGATTACTTATGCAGCACTTAGTCAAATTCTTTAAAAACATAGGCAAGGTTTTTCTAATTTCGTGATAAAACCATTTCGATTAATACCAATAATACACGATTAACCCAATATATTCGCAGTCAACTATCATTTCTGCTATTAAAATTTATTCGAATATCTATATTCAATCTAATAATACAACTGTAAATTAGATTACAGCCAATATTAGAGCTAATAATTGAGATAGCTAATATTACATTAATTATTTAATCGTACAGACACAATGTTTAATACATCAGGTAAGATATTGAATATTTCTTTTATTTTCCGATTAAATAAACAATGCATTATTAAAAAAAAAAGAATTTCACTTTATAGTAATAATCTTATAATTAACATAACAATTATGGCATAATTTTTCAAAATTTATGTCTCGTGGAATAGTGAATATTTATTATTCGAATTTATTTAAATAATAAAATTAATATTCTTATGCATACAGCTATTTTAGGTATGTAGATTTTTGAATATTTTTACATAAATAAACTGATTAGATAATATATGACTTATTTTTAATATCAAAATGTTATGAACCTTCCTTGTTCAATTATTATTAATTATAAATTCGAATTAAGTCGTGATGTATTCCGAAATTCTTTTAATAATCTATAAACATATTGTTGAATTTAATATCTCACTATTTTTTTTATTCATTGTAGACTTTATTTAGGTAGCAAATAATGTGTATCGATATCGTGTATGAATATATTAACTTATCACTACGAAAATATTTAATCTTCTCTCACGTACGTCTTTAATACAATGTAATTTTTCAATGATACAAATTTTATAAGATATATATTGATATAAAAATTCAATTTTCTTCCCATTCAATGTAATAACTATACATAGAGCGATAAAATTTATTCTTCTAATATTTATAATATTTATAATGATCAAAACGAGGTATCAAATTGCAGTCCTTTCATTTGCAATATTTATTATTGGTAAGTTTACGATTTATATGTTTTGAATAATTGTGTTAATATAATTAAAATGACAATATAATTTTTTCACATATGATTCTTCGTATTATAAAAGAAATAATTATTCAAGATTATTTTTAGTTTTATTATTCAAATTTATTAATGTATAGATATAAAATGTTTGAGTTGTATTGTATAATTTCTGTATCAGAAAAAACTCTATATATAAATAAAAAAAACTTGTAACGTAATGAATTAATATTATCTTAAATTATGACCTTAACATTTGATTATAAATTGCCAGAATGTAAACAAGATTATGAAATTATTGTTAAATTTTAAATATACCTGCTAACTTAAATTGTCACATAATTTTCAAAATAAAATAGCCAATTAATATATTATTTATAAAATAATGACCATTTAATACCTCTGTACAATCTATTCATACTTTTTAATTTGCATCCATTATAATTGTACGGAAATTTTTAGGCGCTTTAGCAAGAAATGTGCGAATTATTGGCGGTCATTCTGCAAGTGTGCGCACATATCCATTTATGGCCTTCTTCAAATGTATTAACGATGATAAAATCTTTTGTGGTGGATCGATAATCAGTAACAAGCACATCCTTACAGCTGCCCAATGTGTTAATGTTGGAATGGATTATTATAGCCAGATTAAAGTTTATACAGGAATGGTATCGGAGTTGTTCCCAGGAAATGTTCATGATATCGACCATGTTTTCACACATCCCGGATTCACGGCTGAGCGCACTCCTGATAAAGTTTTTACACATGATATTGCTGTTGTCAAGGTAAATAACTTATGATTAATAGAATGAAGTTTTATTTAGAATGCCAAGCCGCTAATATTGAGCCAATTTCATTAATCGCTTATAATGCAAATTTAAATCTAAATATATTATCTGATTAAAATTAAGCTGTTTGGGTAATTTTTAGTAATACAAATGTACTGCTTGATAAATTGATTCATTCTTAGAAATTGGGGACATTAATGAAATTTATTTTATAGCTGAAAGGACTTATTGAATTAAATGAAATTCAAAACGTCATAGAGCTTCCAGCACGAGACGTTGCCGACAATGATAAAGGTTTTATTTTGGGCTGGGGAACTATATCACATCCATTTCATTCGTTTCCTACCCAAATGCAAAAAGCCAAAATGACTGTAATTGCACAAGAGGAATGTGCTAGTTTTTTAAAATTTAAACTGCACGATGCTCAATTTTGCGCAGATAATCGACAAGGAATTGGTCCATGTATGGTAAATATGATTAATTTAAGTAATTACTTAATATGTTAATACAAATAAATTTTGGATTTGACAAATTACATGAAAGAACAATTGTAAGTTACCTCTGCCCGTTTTCTTGCAATTATATATTTTTTCTAAAGTTATTTGGAATGTATTTCTAACCTGTAAAAATGTTGCAGGGTGATAGCGGAGGTCCGTTAGTGATTGATGGAAAAATTGCCGGAATCATTTCGGTTTCAGTTCCCTGTGCCCTAGGTGAACCGGATATATTTATCAGAACTCATTATTACATCGATTTTATAAGACACATGATGAATCATTAATTCTCTTCTTTAATTATAATATTCTATTGTATATTAAAATTTATAGAACCATTAATAAAAAAATATATTCCAAAGTTTGCTTATATATTCTAATAAAATATATTTTCTTATGCATTTTTAAATTTTACTTAAATACTTTAATGTTGAATTACTATTCTTTTTACGTATTTGACTATTTTATATCAAAATTTATAAAATTAACAATTAAAATTATAATTAGTAATATAATATAATAAAAAATAATAATATAAAACTATAATTCACTTTATGATAAAATCGATAAAACAACAATAATTACAGAGGATATTTTGAAATTTTGTTATTTCGCAATAGTAAAATATATTGTTCGATATTCATTAAATTATTTTAAGTTTCAAGTTTAACTTATTTCGTTCTATTTTGATAAATATCCAATCCCTATTCAACAATATTATTATTAATAAAATTATTTCCTTATATATCATTGTTAAATTATTTGTTGTATGTATATACAGAAAAATGTAATAAACCAAATACGTTATTTTGATTTTGGCATAGACTGTTCTTTAAACTGAATTTTAAATAAAATTAATTGTAAATCGACTTTTAAATATTCGATAATTATAATTTTAATAAAATCTAATAATAAACTTATTCTACTCTATTTTATTCTACTCTACAAATTAAAAAATGTTAATTTTTACACGTAACTGAACTAATTAGAATTATAATAAAAAAAAAGTACATTTTATGACACTTTCATATAAATTATAATTTTTTATCAATTTCATTATCTGTTAATGTAAGACGTTTTTCATTTAAATTAACAACTTTATTACTGAAGCATTGATTCAATATATAAAATTTTAATATATTTATTGTAAGCTTTGTTTAGGTATGAATTAATATGTATCGATCGAATATATGAATATGTTAATTTCTCGTTATGATAATATTTGATTTTTGCTCAAATTACCTATTAATCAAATAATTATCTATAAATATAATTGTACAATTTCTAATGATCGAAATATTCATATCACAATCATTCTTATAAAAATTTGGTAGTCTTTATATACAATATAATTACTATATAAAGACTAGAAATACATATATTCCTACCAAAAGTATTTTTCATAATCAAAATGAAGTATCAAGTTGCAGTCATTTTATTTACAATAGTAACGACAGGTAACTTCATAATTTTCATTTATTGAATTATTCTATTTATATAAAAATGTTATTATTTTATTTTAAATGTACGTTAGTAATTTAGCACATACTTGATTATCCATAACGTAAAAGTTATAATTTATTGAAAATAATTTTTAAATAATATATCCCTTAAAATATGCTGTTAAGCTTGGTTTGTTATGATATTGTACGGAAACTGTGAAATATGAAAATTTAATTTAACTTGTTATACACTGTTGTTATGCAATATCTAATACACCAATGGACAATTTCGAATTTGAGGATTTTATAATTATAAAGAAATGTTTAGGCACTTTAGCCAAGAATGTGAGAATTGTTGGCGGTCACGATGGAAATATACAGACGCATCCGTTTATGGTATCATTCAAATATGTTGGCGATTATAAAATTATTTGTGGAGGTTCAATAATCAGTAATAAACACATCCTTACCTCGGCTCAGTGCGTGAGAACTATATATGGTGACGTAAGATATGTACGAGTCTACTCAGGAATCGCACCATTGGAGGGAATTGCAGGAAATGAGAATGAAATTGAAAATGCTTACATTCATCCTGGATTCACAGCTAAACATAACGGCGATGAAATGTTTCTACATGATATCGCAGTCGTCAAGGTGAATTGCTTGTAATTATTTAGAAATAATTATGTCCAAAAATTTATCGTCATCGCAGATTGTTTACATTGATAACTTGTAAATGTAATTTTGAATATCGATAGACACTAAAGAATTGGGCAATTATTATTTTAAGCATAGTTATCATACTTACAAAAAAAAATTCTAACGATTTCATTTTATAGTTGAAACATTTTATTGTATTTAATGAAATACAAAATGCCATAGACCTTCTAGACAGAGATGTTACTGACAATGACAGCGGCTTTATTTTCGGCTGGGGATCAATGTCGCATCCTACGCCTTCATATCCTATACAAATGCAAAAAGCCAGAATGCATGTTGTTTCACAAACATTTTGCGCCAGTCTTGTAGGATTTCATTTATTTCATTGTCAATTTTGCACATATAACCAGTTAGGAATTGGTCCATGTTTGGTAAATATAATTCATTTAAATTGTTACTTTGTGCTGTAATACAAATCAATCCTAAACTATATTTGCTGCTTTTTGCAATTTTATATTCTTTGTAAATTAATTTGTAATATTACAAATTTTTTAATATTTTGTAGGGTGATAGCGGAGGTCCGTTAGTGATTGATGGAAAAATTGCCGGAATCATTTCGGTTTCAGTTCCCTGTGCCCAAGGTGCACCGGATATATATGTCAGAGTTTATAATTACATCGGTTTCATAAGAGATATGATGAATATATAATTCACATTATCTATTAATTTTTTAATATTCCACAGATTATTCTCACACATTGAAAACTTGTATACCCTAACTCTTATTGTTCCAATGTATTCAATTATTTTATTGAACGTTAAAATTTATAAAATAAATAATAACAAAAATAAATATTTTAATTAAATATTTTAATATTATTTTTATTGAACAATGTTGAAGTTAAAAGCATGTAATAATAAATATTTTTTGTATTTGTTAATAATGTATGGTTGAGTTATATAATTGTAAAAAATTGATAATTATGTCTTTGACATATATTATTATGTTTCTGAAAAATTTGTTGAGGTAATTTGTTTTGTGGTACTCAAAAAATTATGTATTTCTGTACTTCTGACCTTTGGTGACAGATTTCAAATGGATATCTCTATTTTTTGTTTGTAATTGTTCTAATTAAGAAAATTTTAATTAAGAATTGTAATTCATATTCACTTAAGAATTGAAAAAAAAAATGGTAATGCTACAAATTGAAATGGTAAATATGTAAATATTAATTTTATTTTAATTACAATAATTCTATCAAAAATCAACTTATTAGAACATTTATTCTTTTTCATTCAGGTCGATATTTTATATTTTGTATTAAATTAATATTTTCATATTTGAGAGTTTAATGATTGTTTTAATGATTCTATTATGCATGCTATGTTGTTATTAAAACCAATTTTATAAAATCTAAGACAGAATAAACTCTTGTTAAGACATCTGGGAATCCTGTTGCACATGGACGAGTAAATGAAATAATACCAATTATTTTATTTTGAACGATCAGTGGACCACCGCTATCACCCTAAAAAATATAGAAAATATATTCATTAAAATTAATAATTTCTATTTAATTAAATAATAAAAGTAATATTAATAAATTAAAATAATAATTAATTATATCAATAATTAATAGAAATAAATAATAAAAAGTTTCCATTATTGTTGCGCGTTAAATTCAAATATGATTAATAATAATATAAGCACTTCTAAAATATTTTTTATTAAGATTTTGATAACTATAATTTCAAATATGCAAAATATTTTAAAATAAAAACTTTCTTTCATAGAAATATATTAAATGAATACTAACCTTACAGGCGCCAATTCCTACCCCTTGATAGGCACAAAATTGTTCGGGATGAAGTTTAAAAGGAAACCATTGCGAACAATAATCATTGTGAGAAATTTGCATCGTAGCTTGCTGTAATTGATTTGAAATACAACCCAATGGATAGTTAGTCATACCCCAACCAACAATTATACCAGCATCGTACTCAAGATTATTTTCTGGCAGCATTGCTTTATTTTGATATCTGTTGAATTCAAAGCGTTCTTTAATCTATAAAAATACAACATGCGTTACAATTTGAAATAGTTTTTAAATATAAAATTAATACGGCTTTGTTGATGTGTGTATTAGATAAATAAAAATCAATCATTTATTGTGAGAAAATTTAAGGTTAATCATAGTCAAAATTATGCTTGAAATGCTGTTGTAAATATACTAAATTTCATTCTTTGCGAACTAAATAGCTAACACAGTTATTGAACTCAAACTATTCGACTAAAATAACTTTATTCAGAAGCTATATAAAAATCATCACGTAAAGCCTTTAATATTCATGGTATATAAGCAAATTCACATTATTTAAATACTATTTAGTTTTTTAAAACTTTTCCATAAATGTATTATAAAATATATTTTTTTTAACCTGTCATTTTGTAAAATAAATTGACATATTGTACATAATTCTATAAATAAGTATATAAAGATGGTAATTATTTGTTACCAGTCATAAATTAAGTATAAAACTTGTCCGATCCCATAAGACTTTATAAGCAGACTTTATACTATTTTATTATCCAATTTTTATGTAAATATTTTTTATGGAAACATTTATAGGTTTTTATAAATATGCATAATAATTACGTTTAACAACAGATTTTCTAAATTATGTTGTAAAATTTAAAAAAATTTAACTTATTTTTAAAATATTAAATCTATGATACTTTTTTAATGAGAATTATAACTTGCTAAAATATGGAAAAAATTCTTCTGAACAATTCAATAATCTCTGTTATAGACAATTTTATACTATCATTCCAATTCTAATATTCATATAAAACCATTTCATGTACAATTAGACAATAACTTCGATGAGTTATAATAGATTTAATGTAGATATAATCTGATAATCAAAAGAAAAAGAATTATTGAAATAATTTAATAATTTTATATGAAATTGATTAATCTGAAACTTAAAAAGTCGATACCATCTAATAAACAGTATTGAGATTTGTATTTACATAATCATTAATATGTATATAAATAATTTTGTTAATATAAATAAACGTAGTTTTTAATAAATAGTAAAATTAATATTTTAATTTTAGTAGAAAATTAATAATTCAGTATTAAAAGCTTTATTTAGGTTTCAATGAATAAACGTAATTGTATTAAAATATCACCTATTGTAAGCATTCCAATAAATATAAATTCTTATTTAAATTTTTTCTGTTATTAAATTAAAGAAGTTCTGTATAAACGCATGGGATGTATTGGAATTGTTTTCTTATTGTAAAAGAATGTTTTACCGTAACAACAGCAATATCGTAAATATACATCTCCTGCTTATTTTTTTTATTGGTAAATAAGGGATGAAAGTCGACTCGATTAACTTCATGTATCAGTCCGGAAGTGCTTATTGTACAAGTTATTCCTGTGTATATGTTAATATGATCGTAGGGTAGTCGCTCGTCGAAAAGACAATGTGCTGCTGTAAGAATATTCCATCTACTAACGATAGTACCACCACAAAAGATTTTATTATTACTCGCATATCTGAACGCAACCATAAATGGAAATTCTGCTATATCTGCATTTTGTCCGCCAATTATTTTTATACTCTTTCCAGAAGCCCCTAAAATAATATTATGGTTAGTGTTATAATAAATTTTCAGGTACATAATCAAGTATATTCAATTGTTTTAATAGATATTACTAATTTTCATCTTATAAAACATATTACATTGTTATAATATTTCATTTGATAACATTTTATTGATAATGATCAGATTTTGTCTAAATTACAATTTAAAAACGTAATGCAACATTCTTATATTATATTCTTCATTAAAATAAAATAAATATATCATATTCTCATATAATCTTAATAATTCGTTCTTTAAAAACTATACTCAAAATGAAAAATTATCGATTTTACTTACTAATTAATATAGTGCACAAGCAAACTAGTATCTGCCACTTCATCTGATTCACTATCGACACATATGTATCAAAATGTATTATTAAAATCAAATGTAAGCAAAAAATATAAGCGAGTACTTTATATTTATTATAGATCGCTTACATTTTCACTAAAACTAATAATAAAGCATTTTTTTTATATTTTTCTCGATAGATATTTACATGGAAATCTTGCACTATCCAGACTTATAAAATATTCAAATTCTTTTATAAATCTAATGAGGTTCAAAGAATAACGTGTGTTAATATTAACATTTTAATTTCAAAATGAAAAACGATATTTGAAATATACTTTTTAAATATGTATATTTCTAAAATATATTAGGCTTTTTATTAAAAATTCAAAAATAATTTATATATAAAATAAATACATTTATCAAATTTGATTTAAATTGGTATAAATGTAATCGATAGATATATTGTATTATAATATTTATATATTCGTATTCAATCGCGAATAGCGTTCGCGAAAATTGAATTAACTAATATTTAAAACATGGCAAATCAATATTTAATAAGTTGCATAATAAGTTAATATATTGTACTTTAAATTATAAAACAGATTAATATTCATTTAATAACATTTTATTTATGTATATTTTAATAGCAAAGGTTATTATAGAAAATTGTAATGAAATTATTATTAATATCTTAAAATATTATTCAATATCAGAAATTAGTAAAAAAAAAAAAAAATTATTTAATAATTGTATACACACATTTAGAATTATCAGAATATTATTTTAAAGTTATAGATAAACTGCTATAATAAACTGCTATATAATTAAAAAATCTGTATTAACCATCCGAATTCTTTATTATTCCTTTTCACTTTTTATCTATATTTCTTCCAATATTTAAAAATATGTAAGTTCAAAGATAAAATCTTATCTAATTTATTTATACGATCGTTATAATTCAATATTAATTTAACTTAACTTGCAGAAAGTATAGTTGTTACTCGAGGTTACTTCATTTTATTTAATATTTAATATTACATATTTATACTTTTCTAAGTGTAAGTTAATATATAATAAATTCGATATTGATAAACTGATAAATATCATTGCAACATTATTTCTAATATAACAAATGCAAATTTTATTCTAATTTTGTTATATCCGTATTTGAGAATAAAAATGGCATAAGTATTATGGGAGGAATGAAATAAGTAAAAGTGAGTTTCTACAACTTTGGCCCTGAATAGTAAATAAATATTTATGAAATATTTATTTAGAAAAATAATAAAGATAAAGATTTGTCTGTTGTGTTAAATGTGTAAGGAGAATTAGCCACTAACCTTTCATGGGTAATTATGTATTAAACAACTGAACAAATGTTGGAGGCATTTAAAACAGAGACGCAATGCACATTGCGAAAGAATTCACATCGTCGGATATCACATCCTTTCCATGAGTCGAATGATGGGATAACCTTGCCTATCTACTGCGATCCACCAAATCCATGGAACTAGTATCTTTCGTTATTGAATTTCTACTAAATATAATTATTAATTGGTCAAGCGTTCGTTTTCGGAGTCCTTGCGAGCTTCTTCAATTTGTTTCACACGTTTTGTTCCCCCTTGAATTTTTTCGAATTCAGTTGCCAACTAAGCGCTTCTTTCTTATATCTTTGTATGATCTGTGTTCAAGATCCCACTTATTCGTGTAAGAACAGGAAATTTTATTGAATCATATTCTCACTGATTTCTTATTTGCTTATTCTATTTTTTTTTTTTAAGCTATTGGATTCTGTATAATACTCATGAAACATTTATCCGAACTATTTGATAAACTATAGAATTTAGAAATAATTTATAGCATTTAAATACTTGTTAAGAATGATTGCATACTTGGAATTATGAAAAACTCAAGTCATTAATATTATTGATTTACAGCTGGAATAAAATATAATGATATAAAATATAATAATAACTATAATGATGCAAATATAAAAAATGTTTATTATTCTTAAATGTAATATGTATATGAAAAATTGTTTGGAAAAGTTTAATGTATATCAATGGTGAAGGAATTATTAATAATTATTATTTTCTTTCAATTCCATCCTTCATTACGAATTCCTATTCTCCGTAATAGTTATTGACAGTATATTGAGGCAAAAAGTTTTCGTAATTTAATAATTCATGTAAAATAACTTGAAAAACTAATGCAAAAAAACGGTGTCCTGCTTTCGAGTAAGTTTGAATTTTAATTTTCATTTAATATTCAACCGCTGTATATCAAAATAATTTTTAAGATCGCCAACAAACACATGAAAATAGATACTATTTGTAAGTAAGTAATATTTTTACTTGTTTAAGTTATGTATATATTATGTATGTATTATGTATGTAGCCATGCTGGCCTATATTCGGTAATGCTTACAAACTCGATAGATTACTTTATAATTTTATCACAATACTTGCTTTAGTATCGCACACATTTTATACTTATTTCCAAAATATTTATAGAGCTCATAGAGAAATAATTTGTTCACTTCATTTAAATCTTTAGTAAGAAAAATATTTTAGTTTACATAGCTAATTTTAATCCATACATTCTTCAATCGAATAATAAAATTTTCTTAATACATTCATTCTTAATACTTAAATATTTTTACTGAAATCACGCATAGAAGAAAAAAAAATAAGTACTTGTAAACGATTATGCATTGAAAATGTTAAATTTTTTAAATATTTTTTTTTTTTTACGTAATGATATGTATACTTTCATAACATGTGAAATAAATTGTTAAAAATTTATTCAGTTATATTTAAATATTGTAATGTAAATATATTATATTAACTGTAACATTTTATGTAATCTAACTGCTCTCGCTAATAAATTGAAAAAAAAAAATTTATAATTTTGTGAACGATAAATCATAAAACTGTGCGGAAAGAAAGAATAAAAATAATTTATATTGTTTTAGCAAAACGTTATAGTTATTAATAATGCACGGGATATATAAAACTGTGAAAAATATTTATTGATATTCATACATGTAAAAAGCATATTTTAGTCTAATTTTAATATATTTAATATACCGAATTTTAAAAGAAAATTTATTTAAATTTTTATTAAAAATTTGTTTATTATCATTTGGGCACACGCACACACACACACACACACACACATATATATATATATATATATATATTATATTTATTTATAAATATAATTACACAAATAAATCTAAATATATTTATTTAAATATTTATTATAATTATAATTTAAGAAGTCCTAATTTTTGTATTACGAACAATGATAAAATATTGCATCAAAGCTGCATTACATTTGTTATGAAATCCAAATAAGAAAAAACATTTGTGTACACGTCGGGTAAACCTAGAGCACATGGAATACTGAGTGAAATAATACCAATAATTCGTCCATTCCGTGACATGGGACCACCGCTATCACCCTGAAAATGTTCAAAGTAGAAAGCAAAATAATAATCTAACTATCTCGATTGAAACTATCTCGAAAATTTATTATTTATGTACTGATTTGAGAGTAATACATCTTTCTTTAAAAAAAATGGAGATAAAATGCAGTACAAAAAATATAAAAATAAAACTTACAGAACAGGGACCAATCCCCTCTGAATTATATGCGCAGAATTGACTATCATGAATATGCATTGAAATGCGATCTTTGCATTCATTTGGATTTATAATAGTCATGGATGCTTGTTTTAATCGTTCTGAAAACATATCCGCTGGATAACTTAGAACACCCCAACCACTAATCGTACCACTATCGCCTGGATTTACGTTTCTTATTGGAAGATCTAGTTTCTGTTGAAATTCATTGAACGTAATTCCATATTTAAGCTAGAAAATAAAATTTTCAATTTGAAAATATATTTTTATACGAAACTTAATCCGATACAATTTTATTAATGTTCAAGTTGATAAGCAGTCCCGATTCATATTTACAACTCTAGTAATAATAACTGCATTGTTTGTAATGTTGATTCGTCACCTTCTTTATTTATATTGATTTATACTTTTAAAAAATAAACTATCAGATTTTCTATTCATGTAATTCAATAATTGTAATTTAATCTTCATCATAATGTACATCATATCTTAATTAAAACATAATAAATATATTAATAAAATATATCTATTACTTTATCAAATACAATTATTTTGCAAAAGTAGCTTTCTTTTCTTAAAAAAATTCTATTATCCAACATGAAATATTATACATAGCGACATTGAATTAGTATATGTGTATATATATATATATATATATATATATATATATATCATAATTTTTATAAAATGTGTAAATTTATTAATTAATATATAAAATTAATTACATAATTTTATACTTTAATGCGTTTAAGTTAATTGTTTATAGTGTTAAGTAGAAAATTTAATTATATTTTTAATTTTTGTCATCGAAATAAGTTAATTCCGTCTAGTTTTTGTTAATTTTAACTTAATCTTCTTTTGAATTAAGTATATTAGAGTTAAATTTTTGTACTTTCTTACTGAATGCAGTATTCCAACGAATTAAAAAAATATTTTTTATATTGATTATTGGGTTCAATTCTTCTTTATTTATTAAACAACTAAAACTTGATAAAGTTGAAGATGATTTTAAAGAAAGGAAAAGATATCAGCACAGCATGAGGAACGTGATGAAAGTGATACTTCAGTCTCCAACTAAGGCTAAGGGAATTCGTTGTCACATTGTTCAAAGATAGAAAAAGTCGTATATGAGTTTCTAGGAATACTTTGCCTCTAACCAGCAATAAATGTTAGCCTGTCAACATAAGTCTGCGGAACCACAATGCTTTCACCTACAACGTAGCAGAGATATGCCCTCCAGTCAAACATGTCCACAAACTTAGAAATAGTACTTTAGACTTTTATGAGAAATTCGTTTGTATATGTTTACGGATGCTTTTTCTCTGTCCGTTCATTGCACCTCAACACCATTCTTATTAAATTGACACAGCGATCGACTTGAAGATCCATTTGCTGTTGTATAAGCGATGAAAGTCTTTTTTTATC